CCTCCTCCTCCTCCTCCTCCTCCTCCTCTCCCCTCCCCCCCTCGAGGGTGGGGGAGGGCTGCGGGGAGGCTCCTCCGCACGAGGACGTGCACTCAGTCCACTGCTCCCACTCGCCCCACGCGCAGTCCGTCTTGCCGGCCTCGGGCTCCGCTCCACGGGGAGGCCACGACCGCCCTCCCTCCGTCCCCCCCTCCGCTCCCCCATCCCTCCGCGCCCGTGTTGGCCGCCTGCTCCCCCACGCCCGTCGTTTTTTCCCCTCTCCCCCCCCCCGCCCCCACCCTCCTCATTGCTTCCCTCCTTCCCACGGGCACCCTTTCCTGGCCTCCTCCCTTCCTCCTCTGCCCTTCCCTTCCTCCATCCCCCCTGCTCCTCCTCCCTCCCTCCCGCCTCCTGCTGAGCCCCTCTCCCCCCTCATCCTCCATTCCTTTCCCTTATGAACAACTCCTCTGTGCCGGACCCCGACCTGAGGACTTCCTTACCGCTTATGAGCCTCAAGCTCACACGCTGGCGATAGAGGGCGGATCGTGTCCAAACTTTGTCTCGCGCCAGAACTCCTCGCATATCCGTTCGAAAGCATTACAAGGGCTTCACGGATTGAGGACAGGTCGTTTTCAAAATGTGGCTCTCGCCCTAGCACCGCGCACATTCGTTCAAACATGTGCACGAGCTTCACGGATTGAGAACGTGTCGTTTCCAAAATGTGGCTCTCGCCTTCGCACCGCGCACATTCGTTGTAAAACACTGCAAAACTTCAGGAGTTGAGGGCGACTCCTTTTCAAAATTTGGCTCTCGCTCTAGCGCCAGCACATGTGTCTTAAACATTTGAAAGGGCGTGTTCTACCGCTGCTGGCGGCAAAAACGGGGGGTCACTGGGGTTTCCAAGCCCGTCCCCCCCCCCCATTCGAAAACCGAGGGGGGGTCACTACCGGTTCGAACCCCCCCCTCCCCCCCCTCCCCGTCCATCATGAAAAGGGGGGGGGGGACACTACTGGCTCGCCTCCCCCCTCCCCCTCGCCGCCGGCAAACGATTCCCGCTCCTCGGGACAGTGGGACAGTGGTGGACACTGGGACAGTGGTGAGGACGGTGGTGGTGGGGACAGTGGTGTGCAATGGGACAGTGGTGGGGACAGTGGGACAGTGGTGGGGACGGTGGTGGTGAGAACAGTAGTGAGAGGACAGCGGGACAGTGGTTGGGATAGTGGGGGCAGTGGTGGGGACGGTAGTGGTGGGGACAGTGGTGAAGGCGGTGGGAAGGACGGTGGTGAGACAGTGGTACAGTGGGGAGTGGTGGGGACAGTGAGTGGGGACAGTGGGACAGTGGTGGGGACAGTGGGGACAGTGGGGACAATGGGACAGTGGTGGGGACCGTAGGGAAAGTGGGGAGAGTGGGACCGTGGTGGGAACAGTGGTGGGGACAGTGGGGATAGTGCGACAGTGGTGGGGGCACTGGTGGGGACAGTGGGGACGGTGGTGGGAAAAGTGGTGACAGTGGTGGGGACGGTGGTGCTGGGGAAAGCGGTAGGGGATGTGGTGCGGACGGTGGTGGGGACCCGGGAGTCGCTTGCTGGCGGTGAGGGGGGGGGGCTCGAACCAGTAGTGACCCCCTCCCCGTTTTCCGGAGGGAGGGGGGGATGGGTTAGGGAGGGAGGGTTTTGCCGGGTGAAGGGGGAGGGAGGAGGGGAGGGGGGGTTCCAGCAGGAAAGGAGGGATTTTCAAGGGGGCGGGGGGGGACCCCCGGGTTCCAGAGGAAGAGGGGGGGGGGTAATTTTCCACAGTGAAATGCCGGTGGAACACGCCCTCTCAAACATTTGCAACCGTTTAACGGTCTGAGGGCGGCTCCTTTTCAAAATCTGGCTCTCGCGTTAGCGCCGCGTACATTCCATCTTTATAAAATTGTAAGGTTTCGCTGGTTTTCATGGTTAGCGTACCAGAAATGGCGTTCTGCAGCGATTCACGACTGTCGGGGCGTAACAGCTATGTTGATTCGTTGTGTTAAAGTCCCAAGAATGTCCTGGCACGAATCAGGATCGTCAAGACGCAGCAGAAAGGTTGACTCGTGGCGTTGAAGTCCTGAAAATGGTGTTTTGGCAAGCATCAGGGTTTTCACACGGTTGTCCCCCAACGGGGCACTTCCCTCAGTGGAAATTAATCCTTGTAGGGGCCTATGAAGATGGAGCTTGGAGGGAGGATGTATTCCAACATCGTTGATAAGCCCTTTGGTTTGCACTCGGTCCTCCTCCTCCTCCTCCTCCACCTCCTCCTCCTCCTCCCCCTCCTCCTCACCCTTGCCTATCATGCCACCGTCCACCATCCATCACCACCACCACCTCCTCCTCGATCACCCTTCCTTCCTCCAGCCTCCTCTCTCCTCCCTCCACCTGTTTTCCTACCTCACCTCGTTCCAGCCCCTCATGTCTGTCCCTCCTCCTCCCCATCCTCCCTCCCCCCCCCCGCCAGCCTTTTCCCTCTCCTCCCCCGCCCCGCACCCCTCCCTGCCTCCCGCCCCGCCCTCCCCCCCACTCGCCCCCTCCCTCCCCTCCCCTCCACCCGTACCTCCCTCCCTTCCCTCGCCCTCCCTTCCCACCGTCGCCCCCCCCCCCCCCCCCCTCCCCCCCGACCTCCCCACCTCTCGTCCTCCCTCTCTCGCGCTCCCCGACCACCCCCGCGGGCGAGCGCGAGCCGCCTCGGGGGCCGCCATGCGGGGGGGGGGGCGGCGACGGCGGCAGCGCAGGAGCGCAGGAGCCCGACGCAGGCAAGGCTACTGCAGTGGAGGCCAGTTCGGAGGGTGAAAATGGGGGTCGGGCGCAGCGTCCTGGCAATGATGTCTTCATGGGCCATGAATGGGCGATGCATCCTCGATTGCTGTTCGGCGGGGGGACTAATCGAAGCCCCCCGCCTGCACCCATGCGCGAGACTTGAGGGGAAAGGAAGCAAGGGGGCGGGGGGCTCGGGAAAGGCGACGAAGGCAACGTGCGCTGAGGGCGGAAAAAGAAAAGGCTGGAACAAACGACTGGCAGTCCGCAAGAAACCTTCCACAAGAAACCCAACCCTGAGGCCCCAGGGCATCCACCTAGTTTTGGCGCGGGAACGTCGCGCCTTCCATGCCAGAGCCATGGGAAACCAGGAAAGCCAGGGTACCCTGGAGGCAAGCAGGGTGTTTCTTGGCATGGGCCCCCACTGTGCAGCCGGACAACAGGCAGAAACACATCCGCCGGATCCGCGCAAGGGTGGCCCTGGGCAAGAAGGGACCTCCGGGGCATGACTTTCGGGGGCCGTGGGGAGACCAAACCCGGGCGCGCAAGACGCTGCTGTCGCATCGCGTTCAATGACCTGGGGACCCCAGTGCGCCCGCACCAAAGATCACTCCAGCGGAAGGTCACTCTCACGTGTAGTAGCCGAACCCCTCAAGAGCATGAGACACTCTCCGCAGGCGAGGGCACCCCAAGCCATACGATCACCGAGGGTACCCTTCCCCAGGATGCACAAGATCACACGATTAACACGAAGAACACGAATTAGGTAGAAGAAGAAATGATGGCATAAACATACACTTTTTGCGCTCCGCGCGGAATTCTTGGATCTGCGCTGGGCCCCCCTCCCTGGCGCGCGGAGCGAGCCAGGGGCCTCTGGCGCCGCCGGGGGGGGCCAGCGCGGATCCAAGAAGTCCGCGCGGATCGCCCAAAGTTCCTGTCTATGGCGTTTTTTTTTCTTCGAACCCACACCCCCGACGCCATGATTTGTTCATTACGCCGACCCCTGGAGGTCCGGACCTGTTCTTCCGGTTTCTCATCCTGCGTCGTTTCTGACGGCCCCGAGGGCCGGTGAGAGCCCCCCGGGGCCGACAACTTCAAAAAAACCTCCCGTCATGATTCTTTCCTTGCCCGAGGGGTCTGGGAACTGGGGTACCCTCCTCGAGCCGGCCTCGAGCTGAGGCCTCGGTCCGACAGCAGAGGATTGGTGGCGAGCGCGGGGGGGAACTGAGAAGGCGCAGGCCTTCTCAGAAGGCTCGGAAGTCCCCAGGCCTTCTGAGAAGTTTTCTGAGCCTCCCCCGAAGACGGAGAAAACAT